ACAATGACGTCAGCATAAGAGGGATAAATTTGAGGTTAGCGCCAAATAGCCACTGAAAAAATGAAGTTTGCATTTTTTTTTAAGCCTTGAACATGTGAAAGTAATGCTTCAAAAACAACATACAATTGTTTAGATCAGGATGGGCGCCAAAAACATGCTTTCTTGCAAAATTTTTTATTGTTTCATCAAAGTCTAAAGTTGAATCCCCATCATAGTTGCTTACTATGACAAGCATTCGGAAGTAGCTCTGAAGGTATTATGTGCAACTGTAACCATCCGCTAGCAGAGCTCTCGACGACTTCTGCTTGTGCAGGCTGCTTACAAGCACCCCGCTGACGTATCGACCATCTCTCATGAGTTGATACCAAATCAACGAATGAATGAAACATGGGAGGATGCCATGGTCAGTCCTTTCAACAGAGATGGAGTCAAATTTTAACTTGTTCTGGGATGAAACACAGACAGGTTACCAAGTCACTGCATATACAGGCTTGCTTATTTGGGAGATCTAAATGTCACTTCCAGTGTTTTCATTAATTATCAAAATTCGATTGTGTTCCTCTCCACGGTGGGCCATTAACGCTAAACAAACTGCATATGTTAACACATAGAAGATTTCATGCCCTGTCCTATCCTAATCTTCTAGCCATTGTTTGTATCTTTAAAATTTCCACAACACTTTTAGCATGAAAAGCAGAGCTACTTCCTTATAGTCATAGTACTTCCTGGCATTCTTGCACTTCAGACCACACAGCATTAAGCAATAATTCTTTTCTGCGCTGACAAGAAGCTAAATTGGAAATCACGCACAGGAAATTTGTCCCACCGTCCAGCTTACAAATGAGCATTTTCGACCTGTGAATCTGTACCACCGCTGCGGAAGAACTGGAGCAAAAGACAGTCTTTTGGACTGTTTCAATTACTGTGCATCTACCATTCCATCCTGTGTTAGAATATATGCGTTTTACAGGTGAGACTGCAAGCAAAATCAAGAAACCTGCTAATTACCACATAATTTGTCCGACTTCAGTTCTTTTCTTGTACATTAATAACGGTTTCCACGTGCTAATTTTTTACTTTTTCCTGACATGCTTATTTATTCTGTTAATGTTCAACTCAGTTAAGCAGCAAGCTTAAATTGTAAGCTGAACAGCCTTCGTCACAACCAAGTTTTTTTTCGTTTGTACTTTGAAATCGGAGTATAACCCTCTCCTTTGTACTCAAAATAGGTGACTTGCATTTTAACTCTATTGTAGCTTTCTTTGCTATAATTATTCAAAATCAAAACCTTCTCCGCATTCCTCTTCGTGAAGGCTCTTAGAAAGTGATCTGAGTGGTAACAAATGTAACAGCAACCACTCAATGGCAAAGCTGTCGGTGTTTCATGTAGTTTTTAGAGTGATTTATTTGCACGCGCAGTTTATGTTTACATATTTGACCAGATAATCCTACCACACTTTGAGATTTAAGGCAACATCAAACCAGCGTAGAGCTGGTCTTAGCACGTGAGTGCATCTCAGCATCAACCCTCCTAACGTAAGATCTTCACGCCGATCACCCCGCTGTTCGAAGCAGCACTGGTGATTCGTGTCCGTTTCAAACCGTTTCGGTCCTTTTCCGCGTCTTTTCCTTATGGGTAAGCCAGAAAAACTGTAAAATGAAGCTATTTTTCTTCAGATTTTGTTTCGCCGCAATATGATGTGAATGGAAAGTGTTTTATGTTAAATTTTGAAAATGCTTTATCGAACTTGGAGCATTTGTAAAATCTCGTATATATGGGGGTTTTTTTTTTATTCAAAAAGCAATTACCAACCTGATGTAACAGCAGACAATAAATTTGAACGACCAATAACCCACAAATGTAAAGCTTTTGCAAAACACAGAGCGCTCCCTGAGGGCACACAAAACGCATTACTGTCCATGAAAAAAACAGATAGCAAAGCGAAATCGAAACCTAAATTTTTAAACTTTGTTACACAGTCAGACTTTTAGCACTGGAGAAAAGCATATCGTTACAGACAGGCATAACTCGTTATCTCTTCCTCGAAGTATCAATTTTAATTTTTCTATTCGTAAAGTCTAAAAGTCATACCTTTAGAAGATTTTCGAAAGGAGTAAAAAAGAGAGGGAAAAGCGAAACATTTGCAACAAAGGAAAGCAGCAAATACGATGGTAACAATCGGTGATCCTGCAACAATGAAATTTACGGACCAGAACATATTCCATTCGTTTTTTTGATGAAAAGTGGTGCGCATAAAAAGGAAAATGGTCACTTAATCAGCCCCCAGAGAAACGGTGCACGAAACAGTGCATGTGGCAGGCTTGAAAAGAAGACATGGAACTTAGAACGGATGCTTTGGTAAACTGCTCTGACTTGTGAGTGCAAAGCGACAACATCAGAACTCAAATCGAAAACCGATGATCTCAAAGAGGCAGAAAAGAATTACGAATAGGGACGCACCATTGCAGCCAAAACGGTGTACGGGATTGTGATGAGTATTACAGCTTTTTCATGCACATGGTAGCCAGCGAGGAAGAATGCGAATGCCGATAAAGTAAGCAAAAGAGGAAAGTTCCGGATATGCCTCGTACCCACCAGCATCAACACCGGCATCAATAATACTCCCGTCGTTATCAGAGCTCCAAAAGCCGACACAGAAGGCAACACAGAATGCGAAAACTCCTAAACTAATTCTGATTGCTGTATTCTAATGGCTTTTACTCAAAACAGTTACACAGCTCCAAAAAATCGTAGTTTTTTCGGTAAGAAGACACTTCATTACTTGGTTTCATTGTAAAAATTGAGTTTTTATGCGTTTTTTGCATCTATGCAATGCAGAAAAAGCATATTGAGGAGGGGTTGTCTGTGTGTTTGTCTGTACCGATTTTTCATCTCGAGAGCTACAAAAGCTACAGGGCTGAAACTCTGACAGCTTAATCTACATGCATGTACAGGCCTCGCTCTAAAAACCGGCGCTCTTACCCGCGTGGGACCCACGTACGGGCCCGTCAAAATTTTTCCACTAACTTTCTAATTCGGGGACCTGAGAAGCTAGAAGACTAGAATTTTAAAGAGACGTTCCACGTCCACGTAGGTCTCTGTGAGTTTACGCCCAGTCTCCGAGTATGCATGGTTCCTATGGCCTGCGAAAATTTTTTGCAGATATGTTGCTAACTTGGAAAGCTAGAAAGCTGAAATTTTAAAGGGATATTTTCAAAACAGCCTGGTTGCCAGTCTCAATTATCTTAGCTAGAAGCATTTGCAAGAAAAACCGATGCCGTTAGCGACAAAAAGCTGCGGGAACTATGCAAAAAAACACAACTTCGCACCGGCAGTCGGTGCGCTGGCCATTTCTTTTCATTGGATGAAGTTCTTCTACGACGGGTAACTATGCTATATTCGGGATGAATGGCGTATCTTTTGATCACAGACAAACTTTGCCATCCCTCCTTTTTAGTTAAAAATTGCATTATTTACTCAACATATGCCAGTCGGTCAAAATTTTTGCTCTTAACTGTAATTTTTTTTTTACCAAACATTTTTCTTGCACATGAAACTTGTCCAATCCCTTATCTCCTATTCTACGGATATGATCTCATACGAATGATTTTGACGTTTTCTCAAACTAGGACTGTGAACGACAAATCTTATCAACTCCTCATGTGCATCACTGAATGAATGAAAGTTTTTTAATAAGGGAAGTAAAATGTCAACCGTCTTCGTGCAGCCGATGCTGGCATCATTAAACACACTGTTTCTCTTAAAACAGCGAACTAAAAAAGAAAGTCTCTCTGCAACGGACAGCAAAGTTGCATGCGTGTAGCAAAACTGTACCTGTACAAGGCCCGAAGTGTACATGGGTGGACGAATATCCGATGACAATCGTTTCGTTAGTTTCAGAACTTGATAAAAATACCAATCAATGAAATTGTAAATTGCCCATAAATTTGGAGCCCAATAAGCATGCGTGAGGCCGCGCTTGAACGGGAATAATCGTCGCCATATCTGCAGCACAACGCCTCCGCCACAGGCGTAAACAAAGGGTCCTGAAACACGATGAGACTGCGCAACGGCCAGACATTTGCAACGAGATTCGAAGGCAGAAATCATTTAAACGCACGTAGAAATTTTATTCAAAAGTTGCTGCTGTATGGCTTCTGCCTGAAGTAAATCCTAGGGAAGGACCGACGTGTACAGAACTATAAATCCCTTTGATACTCGGTGGTGGGAAGCGGCGATCGCTAGTGGAAATCCGAGACTATAACAGAGAGGATCGTCAGCCGAAAGGCGTCTAGAATAGTTCTGCTAATAAAGAGGAAATAAACGTTTCACTGTAGAATATTGTAGCGACCACAAGAACAAGTTAAAATTTAGTTCGTGGGACATTGCTAGGCTCAAAAGAACAGGTACTGCCAGTCGGTGTATGATAGTCATAAAAAGGGACGGCCCTCAAGAATAAGCAATCCAGCGAAGATACTAAGTACATCTCAGTAACAACGACGAATTAATGCAGAGACTACGAGTGATTTGGTAACAACTGCTGAATTTTCTACAAAAGTCTCAATTTTTCGCTACAGAAATCAAAAGATTCCAACTTATTCCTAGCATTTGCCAAATTTCAATTTA